CTAAGCTTTTCTCATTAGTCAGATTTTTGCGGGGGAAAAGGAGAGTTATTAATCCTAAAAAGAGTGATTTCTCTTTAATGCATACCAAAAATATAAATTAACTAAAAAAGTCAAATCTTTCTTCAACGTCCGTTATGTTTGTTGTTATTTTACTAGTTTGCATTTGAATCAGAAAACAGAGTGTATGGACTCGAAGCGTTTAAAAGAACACAATCGATTTTACAAAAAAAAATTAGAAAGCGGATACGTATCGTATTGACATCAACTTGTATTACAGCCGAATTTGAGACGCTAAACGAGCCTGCTGGATTAGAAGCAAACCCAATCATATATACTAATATTTTTGGGATATGCGGAGTGTACAAATCTTGATTTATCGTTTAGACTTTTTGAATGTTTTGTAGGCAAAGAAGGGCGAAACAACGGAAGGACATGATACAAGGGATTGCGGTTTATGTCTTCTTACACTTGTGGAATTGTTGAAGATGATCATCCTCACTCTCAGTTTTTATTCAAAGAAAAGCAAGAAAACTATGACATGATTCACTACTTGTTGTGATGCAGAGGCTTAATCCAAACTTCATTTTGTAATTTCTTTAGGATTCTGTTCCATTTCACCTACAATGAATGGGTGTGTAAAAGTAATACGTACTGATGATCGATGAATCAATCTAGCTAGGTAATTTCCAGAAACATCAACTCAATTCTTTGTTTAACTGAAACTAGCTAGCTAACTCAAGAAGATACAACCACAATGCATTAGATGAGTATAAAAGAAATTCTTTAGATAAGCAAACTTATCTGAATGTATGGGTAAATCAAGAAGATACAACACCGAAAAATCCGGTAAGAGAACAATACCGAAAACGAGTTCAAGAAATCATCCAAATTCCAAATCTCCTACAACAAAACCATTGCCTTTTCTTTCTTCCATTATCACTCTGTATTTTTTTGTTTCTTCAGATTCTCCTACCTCTTCTAGTAGTAGTGACACTTTTCATCGCACTTACATTGACATTAAGCGGAAGCGGCGGCTTCCTATTCTCTTTCGTCATGCTCCTAAGAGAATACCTCGGCGTTGTTGTTGTTGATTCAACCATTGATACACTCTTCTTAAGACTCTCAAGCTTCTTCGCATTACTTCCTCTTCTCTTGTTCGTCATCGGTTCACGGTTTACGCCGAGACTGTAAGGCGTTCCTTTCACTTCTACACCTTCTTCTCCTCCTTTCTTCCTCTTCAATCTTTCGTTCCTTTTGGCTGAGTACTCCTCGTAGAACCTCCCTCTCTCAAAAACCGGAACCGATTTCGAAGCCAGAGTTTCGAGATTCGAACACGCGAGTCTCGATTTCTTCCTAGCTTCTTCTTCGGAAAACTCATCGGTCACCATTTTCGCTAAAGCGTGTATCTCGTTTGAGATTGTGGAGTAATCGAAAGGGAGTTTCGGTTCCACCAGATTCGCATCGCTCAATCTTCTTCTTCCCGGTTTCGTCACAGAACCTAGATTTGAAGGAATCATCAGAATCATCCAGATTCGAGAAATTGAGATCGGATTAGGGTATTGAGAGAAAGAAAGATGAGAGAAATTACCTGGAGGGGTAAGCAGAGATGAAGAAGAGTTTTCATTGAGGACTTGACGAGATCGGAGACGGAGAGGCGATTTCGGAAGCGGTGGTTTTAGGAATGATCTCATCTTCGACATAGCCAAAAGAAACTTTCAGAGAATTTTCAAAATTTTCTGATTTGAGAGAGAGGAAGAGATGGTCTCTGCTTTGCTTTATTATCCAGAGGAGCGCTTCTCTAACGGTTGTATTTTCATGATCGGACGGTCAAGATTGGTCCTGAATTTAAATGGAAATGAATTTGTTTTGGTTTTTTTTTTTTTCAAATGGAATGTTTAATGGGTCATTTCCAAAAAGAAAAAATTAATTAAAAAATAAGTAAAATAGGAGTATGTGGCAAAATCATGACCATTGGATGTGA